ACAAACTTGAATTTCAGATGTTCTTGTCAGCCACATGAAGAGGTTTTTCTTGAATGGAGAGACAATGGGAAGCTGTGATTTTATGTATAAGGGTGAGTCGATGTTGCTTGTGTCCAAGTGATGTAACTAACGTCCGGGAAGTGTTTGTGGGTGCCTAAACGAGTATTTATCGAGTAACTGTTGTGCAGGGCTCTGAAAACCTCTGTGGCAGTGTTAATTCATGCCCTGTCTTTAACATCTGGAAGTTGGTGTGGTCTGAATGTGCGTCCCCCCGCCAAATTCATATGTTGATTCCCTAGCCCCCAACGTGATGGTATTTGGAGGTGGGCTCCTTGGAAGGGATTAGGTTCAGATGACATCTTGAGGGTGAGGCCTTGCCAAGGGTGAGGCGGGATTAGTGTCCTCATAAGAAGACTGAGCGAGACCAGAGCTCGCTCGAATTCTCTCGCTCTCGCTCGCTCTCCGTGCCACATGAAGACGCACTACGAGGGCAGCCATCTGCAAGTCAGGAATTAGGCTCTCACCCCGAACCGAATCTGCCGGCACCTTGACTTTTTTTTTTTTAAAGATTTTATTTATTTATTTGACAGAGACACAGCGAGAGAAGGAACACAAGCAGGGGGAGTGGGAGAGGGAGAAGCAGGCTCCCTGCTGAGCAGGGAGCTGGATGCGGGGCTTGATCCCAGGAAACTGGGATCATGACCTGAGCCGAAGGCAGACGCTTAACCGACTGAGCCACCCAGGCGCCCCTCTTTCAGCTGATTCTTGACGCTCTGTGTTTAGTTTGGAGAGTACAGCTCTCATATACAAGAGATTGGCACCTTATAAATTGTTTCTTCAAAGACTATGGGAAGAAGAAACTCACTGTTTTTATTTCCATCTAGAACAAATGTACTTGAATTCTTCCTGCACGTGCCAAAAAAATAGAGTATGTTCTATGAAAGGTTATATGAAATATGTTGTCCGTATATATAATTTCCGACGGAAGGCAGACTTATAAATCTTCATCTGTGCCTCTCTTGCCTAATAACTTACAATGCCAAGCGTTGGTTTCCACCCAAGGTAATAGAAAGTCAGAGGGCCAAAAGGAAGGAAAGATCACAGGCATTCTTTATAACACCTGTGTGATGAGGAATGCCCAGGACAGTGTCTGGGCATTCTGGAGACCCAGGTGAGACTCCCAACTTGGGTACTTCTGCCACTTCTTGTCACCAAAAAGGGCCGGAGGCACGCAAGAGCTGTGTAGGCTTGGTCAAAACTCCGACATCGTTTTTATTCCTTTCTGAAATGTGTGTATTGTCTCAAGTTTAATTATGTAGGTAGAGGGGAGGCTGACCTGAGCACAAAGAAAACTTCCTTCTCTCAAAACAAAACAAAACAAGCAACAACAACAAAACAACCCCACACAAAAAATGCAAGTCTCTGCCGCCCCCAAGGATCCTTCTCTCAGCAGGACTAGAGGGGACTGGATTTCCTGCCCCTCGTGCCCCTGGCAGAGTCCAGGGCCCTTGAAGGCCTTCCTCTGTTGAGAGGCCATCTGCAGGCTCAGGAGGCAAAGGACGGGAAGCGATTTGGTTTTCTCAGCCCGAAAGCGAAGGTACATCCTGCTCAGATGAGGCTACCAGGAAGGCATCCCTTCAAACTTGTTTGCTCAGGCCCAGGACCTCCATGGTTGTGTGCACGTGCTCGGCCACCACTCCCGGTCCCCTGGCCGCTCCTCCACAGAAGCCCATGCCTACCTACTCCTCTCTCCTCCGCCTCCCTGTCTGCCTGTCCCCTCCACAAAGCCTCCCACCGGGACTCTCCGCTCCCACAGATGATCACTGTCCTCGTGACTGAGGACAGCGATGCACCTGCAACACTCACATGTAATTCTGGATGATGTGTGCAAAACCAGCTAAGTAACACGGTCCACTCTTAACCTTACTCAGAAAAACACTGGGCTTGCCTTCCCAGAGCTCTGTTGGCCAGAGCTTTTCAACCTTCTGTGTGCCTGTCTGTCACCTGGGGAACCTGTTAAAAATCCAGATTCTGAGTCAGCAGGTCTGTGGTGGGGCAAGGGTGGGGGGAATCTGCATTTCCCACAAGCTTCCGGGCGATCCCAGGACCACGCTCTCAGTGGGAAGGGGTGGACCTCAAGCTCCTCCAGGCCACCGCCATGTCTAATGTGACTCTGGGTCCTCGGTGTTGGGGACAGTAGCTGGCACACAGTGGGTTTTTGGATGGAAGGAAGGAAAGGGGGAAGAATGGGAAGAGACAGCAGAGATTTTGATTTTTCCATTGACTAAGTCTTTCCTGTTCTTGACACCACTGGGTGGGGGCTCTTGATCTTAAAACCCAAGACAGCTCAGGTGAAGCAGATGTGTAACGCAGGCTTGCGGCGGAGCTTTTCTTTGTTTTTTGTTTTTTTTTTTTAAGATTTTATTTATTTGACAGAGAGAGACACAGCGAGAGAGGGAATACAAGCAGGGGGAGTGGGAGAGGGAGAAGCAGGCTTCCCGCCGAGCAGGGAACCTGATGCAGGGCTCGATCCCAGGACCCTGGGACCATGACCCGAGCCAAAGGCAGACGCTTAATGACTGAGCCACCCAGGTGCCCCTCACGGCGGGGCTTTTTAAAGAGAGCTTCATCCCAGCTTCTGAGGGGTTCTTCCTAGCTACTCACAGATGTTTTTATGGCCCTCAAGGCTCGCTCCCAATCTGGCACATCCCTATGAGGATGCCAGAATTCCCTCAAAGGCCTGGGAGCTATGACGTGCCCAGAGGCACTGGTCACTAGAGAGAGGAGGCGTTCTGATCACAAGCTGCTTTTATCTGGAGCTCGCTGACCAAGTGGTGCGGTTCCATGTCCCTGGGGAGCATTTGATGGACAGCATTGCCTTTAGAAAGTGATAGAACTTTTCTGTTGGCAGAGTTTGTATTAAAACCTCAAGACCCTCGGTCCTTTTCATCTCTGCTCCTCCTAATTTATAAGACAAAGCCTAAAGTACTTGATCTGTAAAATGCATCTTGCCAACAGCAGGCAGACTTACGGAGAGCCTCCTCCGCCAGGGTAGCTTTCATCTTGAAGAATGCACAGAGCCAGGGAGATAGGCATGTCATGCAAATGATTAGGTGGTAGCACAGATCATACGAAATTGGGCCAAAATCCCTCGTCATTATTTGCAGGAAAAAAAAAATGCATTCTAAACAAATAATACGTTTTCAGTATGAAACTAACCTAATCCCAAACCATTTTAAAAATAGGATAAAAGAAAATAAAAGAAAAAAACACTCTAGTACATTAATAACCACCATTAAATACAACCACCATTAGCATTTAGTGGTAAGTTTCTGTCTTTTTCTTTTCCTGTGTGTCTGTTTTCATGCGTATACTAATTTTTACCTAATTCTGACATATGGTATGTGTAATTTTATATGCGTCTTATTTTTTTCACTTACCTTTGTATCTGTTTTAAGTGTTTTCCATGTTTTGGTAACCTTCATTACCAATATTCTCACTTCCTGTATGATAGTCCATCGAATGCTTATAGCAGTGTTTATTAATTCAGTTCTTAATGCAGCGAAATGTATTAAGCATTTCAGCTGTTTCAAAAGTTTTACAAATACAGTGGTGGCAAAAATGTAATTTATCAAGTGTCTGCACATGGCATACGGCGTGTTTAGATTATTTAATGAGCTTGAAATCCATAACAGATGTATTGATGCACAGGTAGTTTTAAAGAGGTATGTAACAGGTGACACAATTAAAGCATTTATCAGAGGATCTCTAGGAAGTAAACAAGGAACAGACGTGGCCTGTGAGCCTTTGCCATGGAGAGGGGGAGGGAAGGCGGGGAAGCGGGAAGTGGCAGGGATGGTTGCAGAGAGATTTGGAGTCCCAGAGGCCAGGGTGAGGGACCGCTCATCTGGTCATCACTGTGGCCATGAGCCAGTAACTTCCCTCCCTGCATCCCAGCCTCCCCATCTAAATCAGAACGGTGCCTACCTCCAAAGGCCTGTGGTGAGGATGAAGGACATACATGAAGGCACTTAGTAGGGTGCCCGTCCAGGTGTAGCTACTCAATAAAGTTAGAAAACACTGTTGAGTCAGCAGCCATAGAAGTCGGAGAGCTGCCTACTCCCATCCTTCCCAGGCCTGGTGCTCTTGTACCGTATGTCTAGTTATTTTAAAGTTATAAGTCAAGCCAATAAACCATTTAAAAATTGTTCTGTCCTCCTCCTTGATATGCCTTCACAACACAAAATAGAAAAGTATTTGTAGAGCTATATTTTTTCTATGACTAAATATTAGCAAAATATCAAAGGGGGAGGAATCTGATCCTTTGCAAGTCTGTCTGGGATGTTGTTTGGCAAGCAATGTTTGGATGAGTAATAAGAATAAAGACATGAATTTACAAATGATTATATATTTATTTTTAAAGATTCATTTTCTTGCCTTCGTTTCGGCAAAATCATTAATTATATTCTTATAATCAAGATTGTCACAATCTGTGTTCCTTTGATAGCAATAATCTAACAGATTAAAAATAAATGTAATTATATTAAAATGTACAAAATTTGAATATATTTTAATCAATATGTAGATTAACGTTAATGTGAGAAGCTAGAAATTTAATTATTTTAGCTATGTTTTCAAAAAACTTATTTTTTCCAAAATAGTCAAAATTATCCATTGCGACCGAAATGCAAAATATAAATTACTTAGTGAATATCAAAAGTTAAAATTATTTAAATAGATCTGAACATTTTTAAAAGATATTTATTAAAGATTTAATTTCACCTCCATGTGTATTTTTATAAAAATAAAACTATGCAATTCTAGCAAGTTCATTTAGCTGCTAATGTCAAGAACTGCTTTTGCACAGCAGATATATTCTGTCTAGAACTGTATTTGTGTACAAAATTAAAGAAATAGAAGTTATGTGATATTGCAAAATGTTAGCCAAAATGCATGTGCAACTGTTAGGCGTACTGTGTAATTTTTTCGTGTACCCCCAGAACCCTGAATTGGAATGTGAAGAGAAAAGAGTGGACTTTTGTCACTATTGGGAAGTAATTCTTCATTATGCAAGAATTTATTACATCCTTGCTATGGGAGGGAAGAATTAACAAGGTAAAGAATTTGTCTTTTTTCTTTTCTCAGCATTTCTGCTGCCCTAGTCCTCTGTACACTCCACAGTCATGGTCATCTCCAAAGTCAGCAGTGGTGCAAACACACCTTCTCAGTACTCGGTACTCAGATGCAGTGCCTTTTCCTTCAAGGACAGAGATGAAGGAGGTGGCCCTGGGGCCTGAGCAGTGTTGGGCACAAGAGTGGATGTTTGGGATTGCAGGTTGTTGTGCCTACAGTGACCACTGGGTCTCCACTGATACGTGTCTGAGTCTGGCATCAGAGACTCTCTTGTAAAGGCAACTGCAATAAAGAAACAAGGGATGTTATAGACAGATATGTACTGGGATAAATTTTCTGCAATGCGCAAATCCTTCTTGCAACTCCCATTATCCACATTTGTCCCCTCATTGACTTTGAATCTATTCTAGAGCATTTCTCAATACCTTACCCACCCTAGATGGCTTGAGGTTTAAACACCAGGTCTCTGTCCGTTTTGACAATTTGTTAGAAAAGTAGGGGAGAGAAGCTCCCTCCTTTCTCACCACCCGGGCCAATTCCAGAATTTGGCAGCCAGCAGGAACAGAGCTGCCCTTGGAGGGAAATACCCATGACCTAGAGCAGAGGGCCAAAGCTCGGAGGAGGAAGAATAGGTCAGCAGGTCCAAATGCAACTCAGAGTCACCACTGTGTTCATTAAGAAACTCTTTGTGTCTCACCCTTTTTTCATTATCTCTGAAGGTCAGTTGAGCTTGACTTCCCACCAGAAGCTTCCAGACATTTGTCAAGGGAACAAGACTCCATGGAAAAAGGGGATGTGTTTGAATGGGAGGCAGGGATGTTTGTAGGCTGTGCTGTGATAGAATGATGTCACTGTCCACGGAGCTGGGACTCAGGAGCCTGGGGCAGGATAGAATAGCAACCTGAACTGGCCAGGAGAGATGGTCAGGGCCCCCAGAGCCAGAGGAGTGGCCCAGTGTCCAATTGTCTAGGAAAGGACAAAAGGCAGTGCACTAGGCTTTGAATTCCTTTAGAAAAATAGTCACCTTTTTTTTTTTTGAAATTAATACATTTAGCACCTGTATCTTTGATTTCTAGCCTACTTTATAGGACTCCTCCCAACCCTCGGCTTAATCCACTGTTTGAATATCTTTGTTTCGAAATTATAAATTCTCTCGCTTTAGGTTAAAGCAGTGACCTCCTTTCCCTCCGCTCTTCCTTAGCGTTCAAATCATCCTTCTCCCAAGGCGTGTTTCAGGGCAGCGTCTCAATATGCCATGTGTTGTTTTCTGTTTAATATGACTAAATCATTATATCCTATAACGTCGATATAGATGGGCTTCAGGAATATAAAGACTGGCAGAAAGGCAGGGAGAAAGGGAAGAGAATAAATCTGTTTCCCCTGGGAGATGATAAGTCACTTCAGTGAATCTCTCTTGAGAGCCCACTATGTGTCTGATACTGTCCTAGCACTAAGATTGGTAGTATATCTTCTCCCGAGCTGCTCATAATCTTGAAGGGAAGAGAAGCCAAGTATACAAATGACCATAAATTAAGGGAGACTGAGCCGAAGTTATTAGAGAAGTATAGTCCAAACTGTTGGCAGCTCTTTGTATGGATCCTGAGGTTTCCTGATGAGCGTTTGAACAAAAGAGAATGAGCAACATCACAAAGCGAAATGCTGGCTGCCTCGGGATCTCAGCTGTGTCGGATAGGGTTTGGGATGCTAGGATGACATGCGTGGCTTCCTTAGGTAGGGAGTGGGCAGCACAAAGGTGGTTAAGCAGGGAGGAGTATGGTGAGAGCATCCTTTAGGAACATAGATCTGGCAGTGGAGTGCACAACAGATTCAAGTGAAAGGAGTAGGAGACAAAGAGGCTTCTCAGAATGTACGATGGCATCTTGATATGGAAGAAACGAGGGTCCAAGCTAAGAGAGAAGATGGGACACTAGCCAAAGAGTTCTGGGTTTACCTGTAGGGATACACTCCATCTTCAAGACCCAGCGATCCTCCTACACCTGTCCATGTCTGTTTATGTTTTATGCATGTAAATTGCAAGCATGTCCATTGCCCACAGGTGCGGGCTCTGTTGAGAGCATGATCATCGTGACTTGGGTCCCAGGTTGGGACACTCCAGGCATTGTCAGGGATAGGGGAAATGTAGGAAGAGCACAGCCCTGTTGTTGGCTGTAGGTGTAGGTGAATCCCATAGACACAGTAATAAACACCAGAAAATTCTAGTGAACTGAAAGAATAAAAGAGCCAGTATGCACACAGCACTGCCCAAGACCAGGTGGGCGGGAAAACTGGAACACTGGGAGAGGTTTGAGACCACAGCCTGCATGAGGCCTCCCTCTGCCATCAGGAGATAAAGCATTGCTCAGAGATGTTTGATTAACTTCTGTGTTTGGAGGGATTCCTGGGAATCTGGGTCTGAGGCTGCAAGGAGCATGCAGGACATTTATTGGAGAGTGTTCTTGGGACTAAGGCCTGCTGAGGAGTGGAGGAAGCTGACCTAGGGACAGGGAGGACTGAAACTCTAAAGTAGTTGCAATCGTTCTGGAGTCAGGATGGCCCTTTGAAGTTGGCCCCAGCTGAGGCTAGAAGGCTGGGCTTGCATGCTGTATCCACCAATCACTGGCTGCCTGCTTCTGGAAAGGGGGGTGCGTGGGGCGGGTGCGTGGGGTGGGGGATCTTAGTGACTCCCATCAGGCAGGAGCAGTTCCTGGAAAGAGTCTCAGTTGTGAGCCGTCAGCAGCCAACTCTTCCAGCACCTGGGGGGAATGAGAGCCTCTGTCCTGAAGGAGAGATCTCAGAGGCACGCCCCAGCATCATCTGCTTTCTGAGGATTCGTCTTGTCTGTTTTGAGACTTTTGGGGTGCAGGCTGGTAGAGGGAACGCTATCACCTAGAGCTCTGGGCTCATCAAAGCTAAGAGGGGATGAAAGCCTGCGGGTGAGGGACATAGAGCATCCAAGAGGCACAAGCAAAGGGGCACAGCCTAAAGAGAGGTAGTTGAGGGTAGTGGTAAGCGCCTGACTCTGGAGTCAGACAACTTGGTCTTCAGCAGTGTGACCTTGGGCACATGACTTCACCTCTTTGTCCCTCAGTTTCTTCAGTTGTCAAATAGGGACAAAAATAGTGCTTACCTCATCAGTTGCTGAGACTAAATGAGACAATGCCTGTGAAGTGTGTCGTGCTGGCCCATCATAAGCAGGGCTCTGTGGACGGTGGCGGGTGGAGGCCTCATGGCTGCGAATCATTTCTCGAACTTGGAGAGAGGACTGAGACAAATATTGGGAGCCAGAGTCCTCATCCACGAGGTCTAAGCGTTAGGGAGGTCAGACCAAAAACAGAAGCGAGAGGTATGTTCCTGTAAGGTTGGAAATAATTTGCAAACTGTAAGACACACTGTAGATGTCACTGTGGTTGGGGTGTTCTGCTGATTGCTTTTTTGGGGGAGGGAGGATATAATGTTCATAACCAATAGAGCCTGGAGAAGACAGCCACAGGGTAATGAACATGAAAGTGTAAGAAATCCCTGGTGAAATTGAGCTAAGCAATAGCTCTCTTCTCTGAGTGAGGACAATGTTATCCTTTGTCCCTTCACATATGAAGGGCCTTTTTTGTGTCAGATCCTGTCCAAGGCTCTTAAGATCTAGAAAGAAAGAAGAGGAACTCCATTCCCTCAAGGTGTTCATGACACCTGTTTGGTCATGTGTATTAAATTCTTTTTCCATTGGTAGCAAAGGATTTGCACACATTCCCCCAAACTCCATCTCCCAGTCCCTAAATCATCTAGCTAAAGCCCTGATGGGAACAGTAAGATCCTTCCAGGGCGATGACATCCTAAATTATTGCAGTCCTGAGTGTGGTGACAACCTCTGGCTGAGCACCTCACATCAGGGTGGTGATGCCCAAATGGGACGCACACCAACACATGTTTAACTTAATTAAATTGGAGTTGGAGAGTGGGACCTTCTGATGAACAGACATTTCAAAGCTTAATGAATTTTAATTTATCAATCGTTCTTTTATGAGTCATGCACTTTTTTTCTGGTTGGTCTAGTTTTAAAAAATCTCTCCCTGCTCCATGGTCAGAAAGTTTGAAAGGTTTTTATTTTTTGGTTTTTTATTTTTTATTTATTTTTTGACATTTGGATCTGAAATATAACTTGAATCAACTTCTTTGATTGTGTGAAGTAGGGATCTAATGTCTTTCTTCTTTGTAAGCGTGTTTTTTTTTTTTTTTAAAGTAGAGGACACTTCCAAGATGGCAGGAAACGTGAATGTGTTACAAGAAAGAAAAACACCAAGCAGAACTGGGTTAGAGGCACTAGGCATCCAGCTCTTGGCTTTGGCTCAGGTCATGATCTCAAGGTCATGATATTGAGCCCCGCACTGGGCTCCTCGCTCAGCAGGGAGTCTGCTTGAGATTCTCTCTCTTCCTTTCCCTCTCCTCCTCCCCCTGCTCACGTGCTCTCTCTCTTTCTCTCTAAAATAAATAAATCCTAAAAAAAATTCACAGTTAGCAAAGGATTCACATGTGTGCTTTTTCACAATGTATTTATGACCACCTTATGCATGTAACTGAGATTCACAGAAGCTCAAGGACTTGTCCAAGTTAACACAGCTAGTGAGCACAGGACCATATGTAAAATCTGGAATGTTTTCTTAGTGTGGTGTTTTTTCGACTACGCCATCTCTTAGCTTAATCTCAATTTTCCAATGGCTTTTATTATATAATTAAATCTGCTAAATCTGTTTCTATCTCTCCATCTATTAGCCTCTATTTGTCCATCTACCAATTTATCTGTCCATTCATCTACCCATTGTTTATACATTCATCTGCAATGCACTCATCTCCTATCCACCTACCTAAATGGGAAGGTAGGGCAGGTGCCAGGAAGAGTCCAGGGAAAGTGGGAGGCCACTTGAATTCAGCCAAGTCCCGAGCTCACCCCCAGCCAGTTGCCCTAACACCATGCAGTTTACCTTGTCCAT